GTCCAGCCAGACTGTGGCCAGCTGCAAAGTTTGGCTGAGGAAGCCAAAGCAGGAGAAAGAACAGGAGTACTTGTGGCACCTTAGAGACTAACAAATTTATTAGAGCATAAGCCGTAGCTCACGAAAGCTTATGCTCTAATAAATTTGTTAGTCTTTAAGGTGCCACAAGTACTCCTTTTCCTTTTACGGATACAGACTAACACGGTTGCTACTCTGAAACCTGTCAAAGTAGGAGAGTGTTCACTCTGGCCCCAACCCACCCATCTATTTAATAATAAATCCACAGCAATGCGGGTGTCATGGTTGTCACTACACAGCATATCAGGGGCACTCACAAAGACAGATCAATGATAGGGAGAGGATTCAAATCCTCCTGCCCTAAAAGCCCAGGCTGGCTAGAGTTAAAGGAGAATCTCCATTTAGTTGCTTGCAGTATAGGAGCAGTGACAGATGGCAAATGTAACTTTGTCTCTGAGGGCAGTATGTACATATATATATATACACACACACACAAGAATATATTCCAAGTTGACACTTGAGCTGTGTGAAACTTGGCCATTTCTATTCACGATCTTCGATTCATAGGATCTGGTTCTCATTCACACTAAGGCCCCTTGTCATATTGCCAGAGCAGCAAATTACATTTTCACTCACTTTACATGTAAAAGGGCATTAATGTAAATGAGAATCACACAAGCCTCACCCAGCAATTCCTGCATCTAGCCCAGCAGCTTGTGGTTGAAGTTGAGCGTATCTTTTAGGAGACATCCAGCTTTGATTATAGACCCAAAGCATTGTGTGGTGTATTGCATTATTCTAACAGTGGGATGTATGGATTCTTTGAAATTGCAAGGACTTCTTACAATTGTGTTCTTTGCTGATTACATTGACTTTACTGCTGACCCATTGGACTCTACATGATGACGGCTTGACCTGTGGTCCTTAAACTGATATATCAAAGAGAATTGCCAAAATGAGCCACTAGCGAACTGTAAGCTAGTTTGGTATCTGTGTATCTGGAACCCCACAATGTGCAAACTCTGTGACCTGGAAACTAGAGCACTGGCCTGGAACTCAGAAGACGGGGCTTCTATTTCTGGTTCTGCTGTTGGGTGACCCAGGGCAAGTCACCTCACCTTGCCATGCCTCAGTTTCCCCATCTGTAAAACAAGGGCTAGTGATATAACCTCCTTTGTCAAGCACTTTGACAAGCACTACTTGTGGAAAGTGCTATATAAAAGCTAGGGTTATTATTACTCGATGTGATGTGCAACAGCTCAGTTAAAAGAAAAATAACTGAGTGGTTACACAGGACTTCTGCAGCTGTTCTCATGGGGTAGCTCTCATGTTTGATGGCCTTATTCAAATGTATGCAAATCCTTAACCTGCTTGGTTTGACTATGGTGACCATAAGTGTAACCTAAGCAGCTGGAATGTGTGTTCACTCAGTTGCATCTAATTTTATTGCCTGGCCAAGTTCAGTTTTTACTTTATTGCTCAGTGGCAGTGCTAACTGGACTTTATATAGAACATGTCCTGAAGAAGAGCTCTGTGTAAGCTCAGAAGCTTGGCTCTCTCTCTCATCTACAGAAACTGGTCCACTAAAAGATATTACCTCCCCCACATTGTCTCTTTACATAGAACAGGTATTTGGGGCAGTAAGTCAATATGATGCATTGAAGCATCGAAGCCTCTCAAATACCTTGCCAGACACTCCCAGAATCTCTCTTGCATCTTGTTTGGGTTAGGCACCCATTTAAATATATGCATTTGCAAACTGCTCTTCAGTGCAAACACATTGAGTCCTTCTCAGTTCAATGTTTCAAACTGTACGGAATGGAATCTGTCCTTATGCTGATATATCGGGATAGCTTAGACCTGGGGGCTCATTATGTGTTTGTTTTATTTTAACATTAGGTGGTCACTAATGTTTTTGTTCTGCCAAGTGCGATTAAGTGGCACTCAACTCCCGCATCTACTCTGGAATTCATTTACTTTTTGTTCATTTATTTCCAGCATCACGAACCAACCTGTTGTATCAGCTTACTCGGTAAGGGATCCATCAAAGCTCATCGTCAGCGCTGTCTGTCCACGAATGTATTTTGTTTTTATATGTCTTTTCAGGTTGTGCTGAAAGCAACACCCTGTGCAAAACGGTTGCCTTTCTTGTGTCTCTGAGACTGCATCCCTCGGGCTGCACACCTTCCTGTCATCTTGTGATCGCTTCCACATTCACTGCAAACAATAAATCTCTGCTGTTTACTTACCTTTGTATTCTGTCTGTACGCATTTTTGATTCGCTGCACTTCAGTTCTTTCACTGCTTTTTAACACGGTGAGAAAAGAGTTTTCACCAGCCTTGAAAATATCCAGCCCTTTGCAAAGTCAAATCCAATTCTCATAACAACCTTGCTTTGACCTATGTATCTCGCAGTTATGTCATTTAGTCTCTAATTAGTAGACAGTATATCTATGAACTGTTCCAATTCACATGGCTTAGCTTTAATACACAGGCCTGTAACATAATGATCCACGGTCTCATCTGGCACCAGAGGAAAATGTACTTTTCCCAACTGACCTTCTTGCATGGATCCCAGTGTTCCAAGAATTTTCGAATGGCTGCGTGTTGCCATTTGCCGTTCCCTTTGTGCTACCACGTGCTTGTACCCATAGCTCGCCAATATTCGGGGCCTGGCCCAGGTACAAGCGTGGGGAACTCCACCCTCTCAGATTTCTCCGCCATGCCACTTGCTTCCAGGACAATTTGGAAGTGCTGCAAATGGTATCCCTGCTCCAGATCTCTTCCTGGTTCCCTTCTAATCTGCAGGATGCGGGTAGCTTCATTTGAGGCAAAGATTCCCTTAGTCACCATGTAATAAAGACAGGTTTCAGAGTAGCAGCCGTGTTAGTCTGTATCCGCAAAAAGAACAGGAGGACTTGTGGCACCTTAGAGACTAACAAATGTATTAGAGCATATGTTTTCGTGAGGTAAACCCAATGAAGTGGGCTGTAGCTCACGAAAGCTTATGCTCCAATACATTTGTTAGTCTCTAAGGTACCACAAGTCCTCCTGTTCTTTTTATGTAATAAAGATGTGACACACAGGAGTTGTGGGGCAGGGTTACAAAAGGTTATATCCCCCTCACCTGGCAGGCGTAGCATCCACTCGCTCCCATGGCTACTGTTACAGCCCATTGGGAATTCCAGGTCTGAAAATTCCTAGCTTTAGACTCCATGTCAGATTTTAGCTCTGGAGTTACTCATGGCCAGGACATAAACCAAGGCCCCTGCAGACACGTTACAATAGCTCAGCTGTTACGGTTCTTCCGTCCATAGGCCAAGTCCCGCAGCAGTGTGGCCACATACCCAATGCTGACGCTGCATTTCAGCGAGTACCACACTGCTAGAAGTGCCATCCGGTCGCGGGCATGACATTAAATGGTGGCCCCTGCTGCCTGCATATAGGTGGAAATGAAAGATCCCGGGGCACTTCCTAACTCATAGACTTTACGGTCAGAAGGGACCATCATGATAGTCTAGTCTGACCTCCTGCACAACACAGGCCACAGAATCTCACCCACCCACTCCTGTAATAACCCCCTAAACCTATGTCTGAGCTACTGAAGTCCTCAAGTCATGGTTTAAAGACTTCAAGGTGCAGAGAATCCTCCAGCAAGTGACCCGTGCCCCATGCTGCAGAGGAAGGCGAAAAACCCCCAAGGCCTCTTCCAATCTGCCCTGGAGGAAAATTCCTTCCCGACCCCAAATATGGTGATCAGCTAAACCTTGAGCATGTGGGCAAGATTCACCAGCCAGACACCCAGGAAAGGATAACTGACTCCATAACAGAGATTGTAATAGCCAAGGGGGTGAGATGGTCATGTCTAAGGCCTGCTGCATGGCTAGGTTTAATTGGCTGGGTTCAGTCTGAAGAAACCCAATTCGATGAACTGCACGGAAACGGTCAGTGCCTTTGGGGACTCTTAGGTAACTTCTCCAGCTCCCAGCTTGCAGGGCAGGAGACATTTTGAAGGGGACTTGCATTCAGCACAGCACAGGAGGAGAGACCTGGCCTGGGAAGAAAACACAGTCTAGTGACGGAGAGGATGATGATGGTGATTGATTTGTATTCCAGTAGGGCCTAGAGGCCCAAACCCCATTGTGCTGGGCTGTGTGGCCAAACAGGGAACAAAAAGAGGATCCCTGCCCCGAGGATCTTACAGCCTGCATTAAACAGAGTCCTGGGGGAGGAAGATGCATTCGAGGTCAACCTGAGCGGGGAGCTTCACTGAAGGCAGCCCGGGCAAGGGAGGCGAAGGCAAAGTGACCCAGGGTGGAGGCGCTGCTCCCCAGCCTGGGGAGAGGGGCGGGAGTGGATTATGCTGGGCACAGGAGAGGCTGTCACGACCACCCAAAGGGCGGCCTTCCCATCCCTCCTGGGGGGAGGAAGACGCAGGAGGGCAGGGAGCTGGGCTGAAGGGCAGCCCAGGGACGGGAGGCGAAGGCAAAGTGACCCAGGGTGGAGGCGCTGCTCCCCAGCCTGGGGAGAGGGGCGGGAGTGGATTGCACCGGGGGCCCAGGGGAGGCGGTCACCACCAGCCCCGGCGCTGGCGGAGGGAGGGGAGCGGACGGCCCGGGCCCCGGCTCAGGCCGCGTCGGGGGCGGGCGCGGGGGCGGTGCGTGGCGTGCGAGGCCGGGCCGAGGGAGCGCAGCCCGGCGAGCTGCGGCAGCGAGTCGGCTCCAGGGGAGGCTGCCTGCGCGGCGCGCACCCCCCCCCCCCGCGCCGGGCTCCGGGCAGGGCGGGCGATGCAGCAGGCGAGGGAACAGCAGCAGCAGCAGGTGGTGCTGATCAGCCGCAGGACAGGAGCCCGCAGCCGCCATTAAACAATAGCAGCCGCCGCCGCCGCCGAGGGAAGCTGCAGCCCCGGGCCGGGGCCGCGCAGCGCAGCGCAGCGGGGGCGAGGCGGCCAGGGCTGGGGCGCAGCGCAGAGGGGGGACAAAGGCGCAGCGCGGGAGGCGGCGGCGGCGGGTGGCCCAGTGCCCGGGAGGCGGCGGCGGCGGCGGCTGGTCCCGGCCCAGGCAGCGGCAGCAGCAGCCGGAGCCGAGCCTGACATGATGTTTCCGCAAAGCCGGCACTCGGTAAGGGGGGGGGGCTGATGGCACCCGAGTGTGCGTGGGGGGCGCACCCGAATGAGCGTGCGGGGGCGGGGGGAATGCGTGGGGTAGGGGGGGGTTCACTGCAGTGGAATGTGGGTTGGGCACCCCAGAGTGCGCGTGGGGAGGAATGCGTGGGGTGGGGGGCTGGGCGCACCGGAGTGCGCGGGGGGGGGGCGGGGAATGCGTGGGCTGGGGGCTGGGCGCCCGGGAGTGCGGCGGGGGCAGGGAATGGGGGCTGGGCGCCCCGGAGTGCGCGCGGGGGGGGGGCAGGGAATGCGTGGGCTGGGCGCCCCGGAGTGCGCGCGGGGGGGGGGGCGGGGAATGCGTGGGTTGGGGGGCTGGGCGCACCGGAGTGCGCGGCGGGGAGCTGGGCGTGGGGGGGGGGGGGGGCTGGGCGCAGCCGAGTGCACATGGGGGCAGGGGAATGCGTGGGGGGGCACACTGGAGTGTGCATGGGGGGAATGCGTGGAGGAGCTGGGTGCACTGGTGTGGGGGGGGATGCCTGGGAGACTCCGAGCACAGGAGTATGTGTGTGGGGTGGGGGGCTCTGGGGTAAATGCAGGGGGCCCCGGTGGGTAAGGGGATGCGTAGGAGTGGGAGGGCCTGGAGGCGAAGCTGGTGCTGGGGATATGTGCTTAGAGGCTGGGCCGGGTGGCTCGTGGCTGAGAGGCCCTGGCGGAGGTGGGGTGTAGGGAGGGGGCTTAGGAAGTGAGAGGGTGGGGGTGGCATGGGGGGGTCAGCAGGGCACGGCGGGGAAGGGGGTGGCTGGTGGTACCCTTGACCCAGGAAGTGCAGTTGGGAGAAGCTGCCACTGCCTCCTCGTGCTTGAAGGGCCTAGCCCCTGGCAGCAGGGAAAGGGGGTGTTGCTGTGAGGAGGGGGTGTTTTGGCATATTTTGGGGTGCAGTGGGGTAATTGGGTGGGGTGGTGGGGCAAGCTGGGAGGGATATGGAGGTGCCGGGTGGGACAAGTTGGGGGGTCGAATGCTGGGGGTAAGGGTTGTGGTCTGCTGTGGGGTTGCACGCTTGGGGGTTCTACTTGGAATATGGGGGTGCTGGGTGCAGCAGTGTAGGGGTTGGGTGCTGGCTGGGGCAGGCTGGTGGAAGGGGTGCTAGATTTTGGGGTGCTGATTGAGACAAGTTGGGGGTTCAGTGCTAGATGGGGCAGGCTGGTGGGATGCAGGAGCTGGGGGTACTAGATGTGTTTGGGGGGATGGTGGCTGGGACAGGGTGGTGGGAGGGGTGCAGAGGGTATTGGGGGGAGTGTGGTGTGTTGGGGGGTGTGTGTCAATCAGCACATTTACCTGAGTAGCTTTTTTCCTTTCCATAAAGCTGGTTGCTTTGCTCCCTCTGTTTTTTTGTTGGTTTTTTTTTTTGGGAGGGGGAGAGGGGGAAATGTGCTCACTGGAATATTTCTCTTCTCCTCCTCCCTTACTGCAGTGGGGGCTTGAGCCCATGATTATCCTGACAGAAAAGAATAAATGTTTGTTCTTCCTCCACTTTTTAATACCCACGTCTATTTAGAGCCATGTAGGAGTGTTGCCTTAAAACAAACTAGGCTGGAAGATCGGGGGTGGGGGAGGAGGGTGTCATAAGCCCACCTCCACCCTTGTCAATTCTCCTTGTAAAATTCTGTGTCGGATTTCTCGAGTGGGGTGCTTCCTGGTTGAAGAGGTGCCCTGGTTCCTGTTATTAAAGGCGGCGTTGTGGCAAAGGCCCTGGGAATGGTGATCAGCGAGGTGAAAGCGGGGCTTAGCGGTTAGGATGCTAGCCTGTTTGTGCCTCAGTTTCCCGTCTGTAAAATGGAGGTGATGAGCCCTGCTCTCCCTCACAGGGGTGCCGTGGGGATAAACGCATTAAAAGATTGGGAGTCGGTGAGATATCTGGACCTCTGCTAAGTGCTATAGACAGCAGGGCAGTGCCAGGGCTACGTGACCTTGGGCAAGTCATGTCATCTTTCTGGGCCTGCATTCCTTATCTGAGAGATGGGGGTAATAGGTGTCTCCCAGGGGTGGGGTGCTGCTTAATTCATAGACTCATAGAATATCGGGGTTGGAAGGGACCTCAGGAGGTCATCTACTCCAACCCCCTGCTCAAAGCAGGACCAATCCCCAACTAAATCATCCCAGCCAGAGCTTTGTCCAGCCTATGAATTAATTCCAGCTCCTTGGAGCAAAAGTGCTCAGGAAGGGGGCTGTTCTTGCAGTCATTGCTAGGGGCCTGGAAGCAGGGGGTGACTGCCCAGTGCTGACCCTCATCCGTGGGGCGTGAGGGCAGCTGTGCTGGAGGGGGAAGGGTTGGTCGGGGCATTGCTTTCCCTCCCGCCACATTGCCAGGCGCTCTGTTCTGTGTCGTTAAAGGGCTCGTCTCACCTGCCACAGCAGCTGAAGTTCACAACCTCCGATTCCTGTGACCGGATTAAGGACGAATTCCAGCTCCTGCAGGCTCAGTATCACAGGTGAGCCTGAGTGCCCTGTGGCTAGCCACAGCCTGGCGGGCGACAGTGTCCTCCAGCCCTTCTGCGCCCGGTCCGGCTCTCGGTGCCTAAGGACTGCTGGGAGCCAACGGGGATGTTTTCCAGTGCCCAGGCCAAAGTGCGGTGTTGTCTTGGTGACACCCCTCCTCCCGGTGAGCCGTAGAGGCTGCTCTCCTAATACGTGACGCTCTTGGTATCTAGCCAGAGATGGCGGTGATAAATGATGCTTTCGCAGGTGGGTCCCCAGGGCCTGTCACTCGTTCTCTTCTGGTGTGACGCTTTAAAAATTAAAAAAGGGCTCTCCAGGCCGGGAAGGATTGTCCAGAGGCTGATTTGCTCGATCGCTACGTGATGATAGACGGTTGGAAGAACCAGAGCAGTTTCTCGCAGCCTTCCCCCTAGTATAGCACTGCAGTTGCCAGGGAAATAGAACTGATCCTAACAGGTGATCCCAGAGGGAGGAGAAAGAGACCCGAGCAATGTGCTTTGGACGAGGACTTCCTTCCCAGTGGCCAGACTTGAAATGTAATTGAGCGCATTAGAGGAAGGATTTGCCATGGCTAAAATGGCAGCAGGTTGTGGAAAAAGAATAATCATGCAGTGTTATAACCCTGTAGATAATGAAAGCTGAATGCTTTAAAATTTTCCCTTGAGCAGCAGTGCTGTTGGTTTGTCCTTTGCTCATCTATGACGAGGACGATGGACTAGTCAGTTGCACTCTGGTTGGGAGTTTCTAATCAGTTTTGCCTTCTGGCTCCCATGCACTAGCCCGTGGCGGCAATGTTTCGGTTGCCACCGCTGCAGAGGAATGTTTAAATTAAAGAATTTCAAATTTTTCAAAGAAATGTTTCTAAGGATCTTAAGATTTGGCTTTTATTGTAACAACACCTAAAATGTGGGGGCTAAATCAACCTGATGGTATCCTCTTTAATTATCGAATCCGCCATTAGGATCTGTCCATTTTGTGCCCTTATGGATATGACTTTTCGTGGCTGTTAGCTTGTACATCTAGCACGGCTATGACTTTCCCATGTGCCTTGCATCCCAGTCAGGCTTCTGCTGAACAGTAGGAGTGCAAGTTCATAGAATCATAGAATATCAGGGTTGGAAGGGACCTCAGGAGGTCATCTAGTCCAACCCCCTGCTCAAAAGCAGGACCAATCCCCAATTAAATCATCCCAGCCAGGGCTTTCTCAAGCCTGACCTTAAAAACTTCTAAGGAAGGAGATTCCACCACCTCCCTAGGCAATGCATTCCAGTGTTTCACCACCCTCCTAGTGAAAAAGTTTTTTTCCTAATATCCAACCTAAACCTCCCCCACTGCAACTTGAGACCATTACTCCTTGTCCTGTCCTCTTCTACCACTGAGAATAGTCTAGAACCATCCTCTCTGGAACCACCTCTCAGGTAGTTGAAAGCAGCTATCAAATCCCCCCTCATTCTTCTCTTCTGCAGACTAAACAATCCCAGTTCCCTCAGCCTCTCCTCATAAGTCATGTGTTCCAGACCCCTAATCATTTTTGTTGCCCTTCGCTGGACTCTTTCCAATTTATCCACATCCTTCTTGTAGTGTGGGGCCCAAAACTGGACACAGTACTCCAGATGAGGCCTCACCAATGTCGAATAGAGGGGGACGATCACGTCCCTCGATCTGCTTGCTATGCCCCTACTTATACATCCCAAAACGCCATTGGCCTTCTTGGCAACAAGGGCACACTGCTGACTCCTATCCAGCTTCTCGTCCACTGTCACCCCTAGGTCCTTTTCCGCAGAACAGCTGCCTAGCCATTCGGTCCCTAGTCTGTAGCTGTGCATTGGGTTCTTCCGTCATGCCAAAAGTATTACAGCAGAAGTCTGTGGTGGGCAGAAGTCGCTATTCAGAAACGACTGATTTCCCAGAACACCTCTGCCTTCAGAAGAGCCATATATGGTGTATGCAAGTGCCAGAAATACAGCTGCAGTAGACTGTAGGTCTTTCAGTGGGAGACATTTGCGAGACCTAATCTGCTGGGAAGAAATAGGTTCTGGGCAGGTAAAGGTAAAGCTGTTCCTCATTTGAAATACAAAACCATGGCACATGCTGAAATTCTAGCTGTGGAAATCACCTGCTTTATTAAATTTAAATACATTAAATAATAGAAGATGCTGGTTTGGCTTTGTTTTTTGAGTGTCTGCATTGTCAGGAAACTAGTCAGGTAATTGTTACTTTCCCATAATGCACCCAGAATCTTTTGGGAGAGTGTGTGTAATCCTGTCCCGATAGCCCATGTGATAATTCCTGGAAACAGATCCATGCTTCGGTCCTTCCTGACACCTGTGACTTAACTCACCTAAGTAAGGGCTGCAGGAGTGGATCCAAGGAGTGTAAGCCCTTCTTGTCACTGGGCAGTCTAATGCTGTTAGAGGATCTCTTTAATTATTTGTAGACACAACACAAAGACAGTCTGTATCCCAAAGAGCTTACAGTCTTCTTTATAACCTCTCGATTGCTGTCGTGTTCCGGGGGGCCCATTGCACTAGGTGCTGTACAAACATACAGGAAACAACTGTTCACGAGCTGAGACTTGTAGCTCCCCCAAAGCCATTGTGATCTCTAGCCATGCTCTCTGAGCCGCTGTCTGTTTTCGCTCTTTCAGCTTGAAGTTGGAATGTGACAAGCTGGCCAGCGAGAAATCAGAGATGCAACGTCACTATGTCATGGTAAGGCTCCTCTCCAGTAGCGGAGGGCGTGGGGCGGAGGCGAGGGGCGTACCCAGTGGGACACGGTTAAACAGAACTCTAACTCTCAGATCTGCCCAATACACGACTCCCCTCCCCTCCCCCCATCAAAGTAACTGGAACGCAGCTTATCCACTTGGTGGGTGACCAGCAGATGTCACCATCTTCCTGCCTCTGTTGTGTTGCCACGTGAGGGTGGGGTCCCCGGCGAGGTGGGAGGGGAAATTTAGGGCAGATGTGTTAGAAGAATGGTTGAGAACCGCTAAACTACAAATACAGATTTGATGGGCCCCAAAGAGAGGAGAAGTTAGAAAGCTGGATTTGTAAGGAAATAAGTCAGATTGTTATGGGGCCAGCAGAGAGTAGGCTGCCATTGTGCTGGGCGCTGTACAGATAGTCCGTGTCCTAGAGAGCTTAACGAACAAAATAGACAAGACAACAGAGTAAGGGAAACGCGCATGTCACATGCCATTTTCCAGCAGGGAGCCGAACATGGTCTCCAGGCACTCAGATACCACAGCGAGAAGGGTCATTAAAAACTGACCCAGAGGTATTTTGGGGGAGACCTGAAGGTTCTCGGGGCAGTGTTGGCAGGGGCATCATGAGACATGGCAGGGAGTTGCCAGTCCTGGGAAAGGGATATCCGTGTTCTGTAAGCAACAGGCAGGAGAACTTGGTGCCAGCCGGCCACTGGAGAAGCAGAGGTGTTACGTGCTAAGGAAGATGGAAGTGGAGTGAAATCAAAGGAGGGCTGGGGAAACCCCCAGCTGACAGGCTGATGGGAGGAAGCACGGCCAAGCAGTTCCCGCTCAGACCTGGGCATCAAGATCCAAGGGTTTGATTCCTGGCTCTGCTACTGACCTCTCAGTGCGTCAGTAAAATGGGATGTCACTTCCCATCCCAACCTGATAGGAAGTAGTGAGGCTTTGACTTGCTAGTGGTGGTGAAGGGCTGGAAGGCAAGGGCGAGACAGTGTTATCCTCAGCTCGGTGTATTGGAAACTAGCAACGTTTGAAACTGCCGTAAAAGTGGGTTTTGTGATGCAAACGCCAGACAACGCTGACTTGTAGCACAGCTGCTGGGCGTAACTTAGACCCCAGGCTTGATCCTTCGTTACCTCGTACAGTCATCTACGCCAACACAGAGTGGGTGTGAAACGCTGCCACGTCAGAGCGGTGGGTGCTGGAGTGAAGGTGCAAGGACAGCAGAGACTCAGGCAGGGAACTGGCTGCTTGATGCACGCTTTGACGTTGTCATTCGTTAGGGAAACACTGTTCTGCTGTTCTTCTCCCAGACATGGTCAAAACTCAGCCCTCGGTAGTGCCACCTTTGGACAGGGGGTTGCCGTCGTGTATAATTAAACACGCACCTTTAACTCCCGGCCACCGGTGGGGTGGGGCTGGAAGGACAGAGTCTGCAGCCGGTGATGAGGCTTGGGCTGACGTGCTCGGCTCAAGGACTTGATGGAAGTTCTTAGCGCTGTCCATAAAGATGAACCAGAGCCAGGCAGACAGCTGCTGCACCTGCCCTGGAATGGAGAGACACGAGGCAGGAATGAATGCAGAATTTCTTCTGGGAGGAGTTATGGATTTAAAAGCAGAAATAAAAAGGGCAGTCCCACTCTGTATACATCCCCCTGCCTCAATCCCAGGCCTTGGTTGCTACACGAACAGGGGAAGTTGGCTGATAGGGGTGCTAGAGCTGTTTTTTGGACAGGGATGGGGAAGTTTTGACAGCCCCAGCTCTCATTGATACGTGCTTTGAACCAGAGGTGGCGGAGGATAGGGGCTTGGGACAATGTGGAAGGATGAAATTCTTTTCATGAGCTAGTGAGTACCAGCAATTCTCACCTTCTGCCAATTGGTGGGGCTGGGAGCGAGAGAATTCCTGCCATTTATTAGGTAGTGCCTGGGAGCCCCAATCTGGGACCGGAACCCCGTTGTGCCAGGTGCTGTACAGGCACAGAACAGAAAACCAGTCCCTGCCTCCCAAAAGCTGCCCACCTAAGTAAATCATTCAGTTTAATCCCACGTGCCCCCTGCAGACAGCTGTTGCCCTCTGTCCATCGTAGCCAGTAGCCCGCTAGCGGGGAGCGAACAGAAGGGTTTTATTTCTGAATTTGTTGGCTGCTGTGGTCATGAAACTTTGAATCGCAATTAGCGAGGGCCCCTGTTCCCTGGTCGGCTTTAAAAATGAAGAGAAGAAAATCCTCGCACGGGAGCATTGACATTAATCGGAATGAAGCAATAAGCGGATCCAAACGGCGCTACGCAGTGAACACGAGAACACCCCAGAGATGCAGCACTGGCCTCGTTGAAGTAGACAGAAGCTTTTTCCTTTGATACCAGTGGAACCAGGATTTCACCCCAAGTGTGCGGAAAAGGATGTGAAACCCTCATGCTCCAGGGCATAAATCAGCCTCTAATGGGGAGATTAATTCCCCTCCTGACCCGTACTCCTGGAACTACTTACTGCAGGGTTTCTTTCACCTTCCTCTGACACTATGTTCATAGAATATCAGAGTTGGAAGGGACCTCAGGAGGTTATCTAGTCCAACCCCCTGCTCAAAGCAGGACCAATCCCCAATATTTTCCCCAGATCCCAAATGGCCCCCTCAAGGATTGAACTCACAACCCTGGGTTTAGCAGGCCAATGCTCACACCACTGAGCTATCCCCCCTCCCCCCGCCCGTTCAGTGACTCCAATCCGGCTCCTTTGCAACTTCGTTATAAAAGGTTTGATTGTGACGCTCGTTGCACGTGGAGTCTTGAGTTGTTGCTGTTTCTCTTTCCTCTCCCCCCTGCAGTATTACGAGATGTCCTACGGGCTCAATATCGAAATGCACAAACAGGTGAGACAAGCTTCTCTCTCTGGGCGCTTTCTGCAGCTGCCGGGGTGGGGTGGGGTGGGGTGGGAGGAGGTTGGGCTTTCTAAGAAGTTAGTTACTTTCTTCACTGAACCTCTCTGACCTGCCCCACCCTGCCTCTGCTGGCTTAATTTCATTTTGGGAGTCACCAAAAAGCCATGAAGCTTCTCTAGGCTGTAAGATTTGAGCTGCTTTCGTGATGGATTCATTTCCTTGGGCTCCCCTGCACAGATGCATGCTTGCCTCGATGCTTGCCGGTCATTATATTTCCATGGCAGATGGCCATGGATTTGGGGCTAGAGTCCAGTTGGAGAGGGGAGACTGGGGGGGGATGGGACACTCCATGCTCTGCATGTCCTGTCAGATGTTCAGCTCCGGTGAAGAAGGTGCAGGACCGGAATGAGGTGGGCATCTCCAGGGGATTGGGGAGGCACAGTGGTCCATAGACAGGCACAGATCAGAGGTAGGGCCCCTGAAGGGTGTGATGCCAGACTGAGCAGCCTCCCCTCCGGAGAGCTGTTGGAATGCTCAGTACGACACAGAGCCGGGCCTAGTTCATAACCCCCGGAAATCTTGTTTGGACTTGCTGATCTCCTTAGCAGCTGCTGCTTCCTCCCTGTCACGTGTTCCACTGAAAAGGCAGGGGAAGCAGGAAGAATCTTTTAAAGAGTCTTTGAAAACAATTAGCCTGTGATTCGCGAGGACTTGTGCTGTATGGGGTTTTTTTTGGTTTTTGGTTTTGTTTTTTTAACTGTTCCCAGGCCGTAGAAAATGCTTGTGGTCCGCTGTTGTATAACAACCCCAGGGACGGGCAAGCTGCTGGCGGACAGGGAGTCTCTTTGATGGGGAGAATCTGGGAGGCTGCAGATTTTATGCACCTCTTAAATCTCTCTTTGGCGTGGGGGCTGGTAAAATTCGGTCTCTTCTGTGGGCCTCTGGGTAACTTCAAACCCCTGCTGCTGACCCAGGCCCCAGCACCAATCCAAAATTAAATGTTTCTAGTTAAAGGGCAACCCCTGCTCTGGATGGAAGATGCTGCAGAATTTGGCAGGCCCGAGTAGGGGACATGAAGCACAGTTTGTAGACCCCAGCTGTTTTCAGTGCTTTCTGGAGGCCTGATTTTCAAAAAGCAATGAGCCCCCACTCCTAAGGAAATACCCGGCCCCTTCTGTTGTCTCACGTTGGGCACTCAAAAAATCACCAGTCCCTATACATATGGATTTCCTCGTTCCACGGCTATTTAAATAAAACCAAAAACTGGGTTCTGTCTGCACCTTGTTTCTAGTCTGAATTTGTCTAGCGTCAACTTCCAGCCACTGGACCTTGTCAGACCTCTGCTAGTGTGAAGAGCCCTCGGTTTTTATCGAACGTCTCTTTCCCGTGCAAGTGCTTCAGCTGTGATCAAGTCACCCCTTAACCTTCTCTTTGATAAGTTCCTTGAGTCTGACACTACCAGGCATGTTTCCCAATCCTTTAATCTCTCTCCTGGCTCTTCTCTGAATCCTCTCTAGCTTTTCATGTTAGGTCCCCAACCTGCTTCATGGCTTCTGTAAAGCCCATTAGGTGCCTGTCTGCAACATCAACCTGGCCCTGTATTCCTCTCCCTTCAGTTGGAATCTGTCCTTTATTTTTTAATATATATATATATATTTTTATGAACAGCTTTGCTCATTCCCCGGGAGAAGAGTGTTAAAAAAAACGTTTAGAGTCTCTTTAGTAAACCCCATGGGAACCAACTGACACTGTTGTTTTATCTGATCTCTGCTATGGTTTTTTTCTTTTTGCCCTTATTAAGTATCGGCCTTTGTCTCTCCCTGGGCCTATTGGTTGTTATTAACCAAGTCTCCCACTTGCTAGCTCAGCTGCTGGGAGAACGTTCCTGGTGCAAACTCTCAAGATTTATAGAATTTAAAAAAAAGAATAATTTGTGGGAGGGGGTGAGATGATTCCAAGGAGACCTACAACTGATTTCACCACCGCCTCTCCCTCTTGGAAGTGAGAGCAACAGTGAAACAAATGTCTGTCTGAATCTGAGCATTGTACATAATTCAGCACTTCCCAGTCTGGTTTCTAATAAATTTCCTTCCTATAGGCCCCTGCTTTCTTTATTAAATGCATATTTGAGTCCCTGAGAGGGAAGGGAGAATAATGAAAACTCAGTCGGTGGGATCAGCAGGATTTCGTTTTGCAAGGGTCTGCAGTGGATTTATTTATTTTTCTAAATGAGTCTGGGTGGCTCCTGCAAGGAGGCAGGGAGGTTGGGGGGCTGCTCAGGTGAACAGACCTTGATCAGGGCAGATAATCTGCAGGGAGTGTACCAATTTCTTCTGACCTTTTTTGTTTTTAATTCCAGGCTGAAATTGTCAAGCGGTTAAATGGGATTTGCGCTCAAGTCTTGCCCTACCTGTCTCAAGAGGTAACCTTTTTACACTGTGAATCGCGGGCAGTGGGGACTTTAAAAACACTGCTTAGAAGAGCCTGATCCTGCCAGTTGCCAAGTGCCTTCAGGTCCCTCTTGAGTTCAGTGGGCATTGTGGGGCCACCCCACCGATTTGGGCAGGTGGGGTCAGATAATTTCAAGCGCTCAGCCCTCCTGATCAGGCCCAGGTTGTTTCCAAAGAGCTCTGCACCCGATGCACCAAATCTGGAAGATGTGATCACTTGCTTTAATGCCTCCATTGGAGCTCACTAGGGCTGTCAAGCAATTAGAAAAATTAACCATGCAATTAAACAATAATAGAATACCATTTATTTAAATATTTTTGGATGTTTTCTACATTTTCAAATGTATTGATTTCAGTGACAATACAGAATACAAAGTGTACAGTGCTCACTTCATATTGATTTTTGTTTGCAAGTATTTGCACTGTAAAAAACAAAAGAAATAGTATTTTTCAATTCCTCTAATACGGGTACTGTAGTGCAATCTTTCTCATGAAAGTTGAACTTACAAATGAACAACTATGTTTATTTTGAATGCAGTTTTTTGTGTACAATGTAAGATTTTAGAGCCTGCAAGTTCACTCAGTCCGACTTCTTGTTCAGCCAATCGCTCAGCCAGACAAGTTTGTTTACATTTTCAGGAGATAACGCTACCTGTTTTTTGTTTACAATGTCACTTGAAAGTGAGAATGGGTGTTCTCGTGACACTGTTGTAGCCGGCGTCGCAAGATATTTACGTGCCAGATGCGCTAAAGAATCATATGTCCCTTCATGCTTCAGCAACCATCCAGGGGACATGTGTTCATGCTGATGCCGGATTCTGCTCGATAACAGTCCAAAGCATAGCGGACTGACACATGTTCATTTTCTATTATCTGAGTCAGATGCCACCAGCAGAAGGTGGATTTTCTTTTTCGGTGGCTCGGGTTCTGTAGTTTCCACATTGGAGTGTTGATCTTTTAAGACTTCTGAAAGCATGCGCCACACCCCGTCCCTCTCAGATTCTGGAAGGCACTTCAGATTCTTAAACCTTGGGTCGAGTGTGGTAGCGATCTTTAGAAATCTCACATTGGTACCTTCTTTGCGTTTTGTCAAATCTGCAGTGGAAGTGTTCTTAAAACGAACATGGGCTGGGTCATCATCTGAGACTGCTGTAACATGAAGTATATGGCAGAATGCGGGTAAAACAGAGCAGGGGACACACAATTCTCCCCCAAGGAGTTCAGTCACAAATTTAATTACCGCATTATTTTTTTTTAACAAGTGTCATCAGCATAGAAGCATGTCCTCTGGAATGGTGGCCGAAGCATGGAAGGGGCATACGAATGTTTAGCACATCTGGCAAGTAAATACCTTGCAATACCAGCTACAAAAGTGCCATGCGAATGCCTATTCTCACTTTCTGGTGACGTAAATAAGAAACGGGCAGCATTATCTCCCGTAAATGTAAACAAACTTGTTTGTCTGAGCGATTGGCTGAACAAGAAGTAGGACTGAGTGGACTTGTAGGCTCTGAAGTTTTATGTTGTTTTGTTTGAGTGCAGTTAAGTAACACAAAAAATCTATATTTGCAAGTTGCACTTTCATGACAGAGATTGCACTACAGTACTTGTATGAGGTGAACTGAAAAATACAAATATTTGCACTGTAAAAATGATAAACAAAAATAGTAATTGAAATCAAAATGTATATTATTTTTATTACAACGCAAAATACAATGTATATGAAAATGTAGGAAAACGTCCACAATATTTAATAAATTTCAATTGGTTTTCTATTGTTTACCAGCGCGATTAAACCTGTGATTAATCGCGATTCATTTTTTTGAGTTAATCGCATGAGTTAACTGCAATTCATCAACAGCCCTAGAGCTGACCGTTCTGAAACTCTGGCCTGAAACATTTAAAGTAGCCCTTGAGTGTTCTCCCCCTTTCTACATGTTATGGCTAAAATATCCTGTCCTTTGTGGAGCATCCGCAGACGAAGATGGCCTCTGTTCTCGCTCCATGAATTTCCCAAGATTAGAGTCATCGGCTGTTTCTGTGAACTATGGTTGGGGCATGCGGGCAGCTTATTAGAAGGACGGAGTGTGTATTTAAAAAAAACAAAAAACAACTCCATGTGGCTGTTCCTTAATATTTTAATTTCTTTGCTTCAATAATTAATGTACTTGCTGCCTCTCTCTCTCTTTAAAAAAAAAAAAAAAAAAAAGAGACTGATTAATTGGAGAGGGAGGAGGGCATTGGGGGAGAACCTGACACCTCAATTTGATTTTGACTTGGTCATCTTGGCGTGTTTACATTTGCAGTACAAGTCTCCTTAAATGATGTGACGTGCAATGGAATTGTGGTCGGAATTAGCCATAGGGGTGGGGGGCTACTTTGTTCTCCATTGGGGGAGAATTTAAGGAACTTGCAGGTCAGAGCTCTTTAACAGCTTAGCCACAGCTAAACACTCTCTGTCTTACTGCATGGCTCTCACCCTGCCCCTATGCCAAACTTGAGAAGAATCTACTTGCTGGAGATAATATTCAGAGACTTCTTCCGATTGCTACCCCATGGACCAATTACCATAGTGCCTTTTCTGAACACAGCTGCTGCTGTTCCTGTTCTGAATTTTTCTAGCATTGGTGCTGGCCTTCCCAGTGGCTCTCGAAGCTGCCTGCCATCAGAATTTGTGCCCAGGTCATGTTCCAGGGCAGGGAGCATTTGATCTCTGGAGCAAATACGTGGGTGCTTAAACTAACCAGTGTTTCTTCCTTGCTGCTTTTCATGGGGGCTGTGAGGCCTCCAAGCAGCCTGGAGTTCGCTGCATGGCCCAACTAAAGGGTAAAACTCGCCCTGGTGCTGCACAGGGACCAGAGTCCAGTTGGAGAAAATCCTGACACTTCTTTGGTGGTGCAGAGGCCTTTCTTGCATTGGAAATGGGATGGGGGGGGTGCATGGGCCCCCAGGTGGCAGAGTCCAGCTGTACTGGGGATCCAGGGTGGATAAAAATCCATTTCTTTAATTTAAATAGATTTAAAATTTAAATTTGACATTGTGACAAAAGTGTTAAGGCCTAAATTTACTATAGTCTGTTAAAATAATTTAAATCGTATTAAGCAGTACATATTTGCACCTGAAGTCTTAAAGTCAAACCACTGAACTGGTAGCAGGCACCAGTGAAGTACCTTTAACCAGCATTTGTTGAAGTGCTAACTCAGCTTTTGACCACCGTAGCCTCTTTTGCAGGGGGAACATTTTCTTCATTTTAGTTTATTCAACTTATTCAGTTTGGTGACAAGCTCATTCAAAATTGAGAAAGCAATTGGGAGTTGGAAAAAGCAGGAATGTTGGCCTTCACAACATCCCCTGGCAATGAGTTCCACAGGTTGACTGTGCGTTGTGTGAGGAAATACTTCCTTATCTTAATTTTAAGTCTGCTGTCTATTAGTTTCATTGGTTGCCCCTGGCTCTTGTTGTGTGAAAGGATAAATAACACGTTACTTTCTCCGCACCGTGCATAATTTTATAGACCTCTATCATATTTCCCCTTCGTCATTTTCTAATCTATGTATAAAAAGGAGGTATGAAAGGATGAGATCTGCTAGTTCTAATATCTTGAAGGACACTGTGACCAGAAACAATCAATTCAGTTCACTAACTACAGGTAATACTTCATTTGTTTAATAAATCAGTTAGTTTTAAATGCAAAACGTGTTTTGATTAAACTTAATTTTTTCCTCTCATATCCTGCCCATTTAATGTAGTTTTATTTAACTAATAATTTTTAAAACGTTGTTGAGCTTTTTTAATTTTGTATTTCCACCCAAGTGGAAGAGCTTGACACACCACAATTAAAAAATTAATCATCTAGTAAATAAGAAATGAGTCATTCACCATCTTCTAACAGAATTGCTTAAATAAATGTGAAGAGATACAGTATATCTTCCTGGTTGGCAAAAAGAAGCACCTAATTTAGGCTAAAGGGTATATTTAGTTGCAAATCAATTTGTTACCAACCGATGAGAATCCACCTTTCTTTAGGAAAATAACAAGAAAATACAGATGCAAAACAAGATTAAAATGGATTATTATAATCAAGGGTACTGCTTGCTGATCTAAATCATGATTAAAATTGGTGATTTTTAAATTGTTTTGGTTTAAATCGATCTACCCTACCGAGCCATGTGCTGGTACGGGAGTTTGAGGTTGGGGCAGTGGAGACAACTGAGAAGGGGTGTAATAGAGGTCTATAAAATCGTGAATGGGGAAGTGTTGTTTACCCCTTCACATAACACAAGAACCAGGGGCAACCAAAGAAATTAACTAGGCCGCAGATGTAAAGTTAAGATAAGGAAGTATTTCTTCACACAACACATAGTTAACCTGTGGAACTCATTACCAGGGGATGTTGTGAAGGCCAAAAGAATAACTTGGTTCAAAAAGGAACTAGATGAGTTCATGGAGGATGGGTCCTTCAATCCCGAGATGGTCATGGACACAACTCCATGATCTGGGTGTCCTTAAACCTCCAACTGCCAGAAGCTGGGACTGGATGACTGGATGGCTCACTCGATAATTGCTCTGTCCTGTTAGTTCCCTCTGAGGCACCTGGCACTGGCCACTGTTGGAAGAGAGGCTACTGGGCTAGATGGACCATTGATCTGACCCAATGTGGCCATTTTTATGACTAGTCCAAGGCATCCTCTGGCACCATGTGTGGTGGGAAGGTGAGGGAGTGGAGAGCCCCATGCCCCTAACTGTGCTCATCAGAAGATGTCCCCCAAGGCCATAAACAGGACTGAAACAATATACAGGCCTTTGAGTGGGTGCCCTGCATTGGCTGTGAAACATAACCCAGGAGTCCCCTGGCCTAGGCATAACTCTGTTGGAAAAGTCTGGGCTGGTGGCTGTGTTATGGAGAGGAATGCCCTGCGGTGAAGGCCCTGGACTGGGATCCAGGAACTCATGGTTCTGTTCTCGGGTCTGCTACAGACTTCTTGAGCTTTACCTCCCTGTGCCTCGGTTCCCCGTTGGTGAAGAGGGGATAACACCGGCGTGTTTAGCTCGTGAGCTCCTAGGAACAGAGATTCTCTCACATCTATCACCCTAAGGCCCCGGTTTGAGCTGGGACGTGTAGGTGTCCCTGTAGGGTGAATAATAGCCATAATAATGACTTGGTTTGTAGCTCTGTAGGGGAAGCTAATGCTAAAGCGCTCAGGCTTGGGGAAGCTTCCCGTTCCTTCCGCTCCTCCATTTCCTCCAGGGACGGCATCTGTACTGGAATGGAGAACCTGGAACTTGCTCACCAAGAAGCAGGAAACTTGCAGCTTCCTGACCCAGTGCAAGCCTGTGCCCCATGTGCTGTGGCAGCATTTTGCCCTTTGATTCCCTTTCCGTAGCGTGGGGCTGATCCTTGATGTCGGGTGATCCTTTGATTTTTAACTCTTTGTGTTGGGCTTATGCCATTTAAATGGCCTCTCTTTCTCCGGAGTCTGTAGGGGGCTGGACAGTAGGCCAGGGCTTGGTGTGTGGCTGCTGGATCTGTTTGTGTTGAGAAGGGCTGGCAGGGGTAGGGGTGGAAATTGCCGTATTGCAAAATGGTGTATGCGTTTGTTGGAAATGCAGCTGAGGTGACTGGGGATGGCGAGGGGAGCTGTTTTGGGGCATGGCGGGGGAGGGGAAGGCAGCCCACTGATCGGAAACTTCTCTCCATGGGGCCTCTCATGCATGTTGTGATTGGGAAGCGTGCCAGGCTGATAACCCAAAAGCCGCCTGTCATCCATGCTGCGCGGGCAGTGGCCATGTGGCCTCCCTTTGCCCCTCTACTGCTCCCAGCTTTGCCAGTCTCTCTCCCCCTTGATCTGGAGGGACTGTTACATCTAGGGCTGGAGGCTAGCCTGCTCTATCTGCGCCCCAGCCATTGAAGGTGCCAGTTAGTCCCCCCTTGTCCCACTGGGGGCTCTCTGGTTTGCCCACTCCCCTGCTGTGTATCTCCCCTGGGCAATTCGTCTGGTGCAGCAGGCGGGGAGGGGTGGCACACAAGAGCGGGCAGCCGTGGCATGTAGGAAGAGGACTGAACAGACTCTCACAGTCAGGGTGTGAGTCATCCAGGTGGGGCAGAAGGGGGGAAATCTTGCCCTGCCAGTGATGTCTGTTCTGCAGGTGAAGGCCGGACATTGCCAGGGCTGGTGAGGGGGCACCTTTCCCGGGTTCAGAAATCACATGTGCAGCTACAAGTAAATCCAGAGAGGGGCAGGGGCGTCAGGTCGGGAACAAGCAGAAGGTGCTCAGCTCCTGCAAGCAAAATCTCTTGGCTTGCTACCCACCAGCGGCATATGTACATGGGGCCGGATCCTGCAGCACATGCTCGGGGGAACATCTCTCCTGCCATTCATACGCAGGGAGCATTGCAGGATCAGGCCCTTTTACAATCTCCCTCCTCACCTGAGCCTCTCCTAGGACCGGAATTAACCCAGGTCGGGATGCGTTTAACCTGCCTGGCAGTGCAACCCGCTGGGAGAACCGAGCGGTCACTGGCCTGGGCTAGACCCAGCCGTGTTGAGTAACACACAGTGATTTTAAATGACTCAAAAGCTGTCTTGTTTCCCCCCCTCCCTTCTCTACCCCCCCCAGCACCAACAGCAGGTCCTGGGAGCCATTGAACGAGCCAAGCAAGTGACCGCACCAGAGCTGAATTCCATCATCCGTGTACGTGATGCGCGGTTAGGAGCGGCTGTGGGGAGGGGGGAGAGCATGAACGCCAGCCTCAGATCCCTTTGGCTAAACCCGGGGCAGGAACCAAGTGACGCCAGCCTGAATTCTTTAAATCAGACAGGCCCTGGCATGCCACAGGGTGGGGCCACAGTGGAGAGGGTTGTAGCTCTTCTGCAGGGGATCTGGTGGGGCTCTGAGCCCTGTCCCCTTGGCCTTTGCCCCCCACCCCACCCAAACCGACGCAGGCTGTTGGCACATTGTTGTTGCCAGCAGCTGCCTCTGATGCCCCCCCAAGCACCACTCACCATATCCTACACTGATCCATGCACACATGTGCCCTCTGCAGAGCATTTGACCTCGCTTAAGCCGGCTGGTTGCAGCTCTGCCCTGGCCAGGCTGGGTTGTAGAAGTTGCATCAGGCTGGCCTGGCCCAGCAAGAGCATGTGATAAGAGCCCGACTGGGCTGCCTCGGGCCAGGCCGTGTTCTGCGCTCACTCAGCCATCAGCAGCCGAGCTGCGTTCGAGTACCGGTGATGTGAGCGTCTAGACAGGGCTGCGGGGGTCCGTCTGGCTCGGCTCCATCCGTGCAGCGCAGGAACAGGGCTAGAGCCTGGTCGCAGCCCAGTGACCTTGCTCCCGCACAGGGTCAAAGCATAAGGCAGGGCTCGCGCAGCAGGTTTGGCTCCAAGCACCCCCAGGGCCCAGAACATGGCTGAGCCTAAAGCTGTAGCCTGGTCTGGACACAGCTCAGTCATGAGTGTAACTCGTGGGGGAGGGGAGGGTTACAGGTCCTCCTCTGTGCCTGATCTGCAGAGGGGGGCAAGTCTGTTACAGGGCCCTACAGAGCCCAGACTCTTCAGCTCAAGCTTGAGCGGCCTACGCTTTTAGTACTGGAGGTCGCTGGTTCAGTCCCAGCTGTTGGCCAAGATGGCATTTTGAGATGAAGCCTTTTGCAGCTGGGGTACCCAGAGGCAGCAGCTTCCCCAGCGGAGCGGGGCCCTTAGCAGGAGTGGGGCTGCCCGCTTCCCAAACGACACATGACCCTCTCCCGTTGTCTGTCTGTCCATCATTCTCTACAGCAGCAGCTTCAGGCTCACCAGCTCTCGCAGCTCCAGGCTCTGGCTCTCCCCCTGACTCCGCTGCCCGTGGGCCTCCAGCCCCCTTCCCTCCCGGCTGTCAGTGCCGGCACTGGGCTCCTCTCGCTCTCCGCCCTGGGCTCCCAAGCTCACCTCTCCAAGGAGGACAAGAACGGTCACGACGGGGACACCCACCAAGATGACGACGGGGAGAAGTCGGATTAAAGTGAGGGGTTGGGGGGAGGGGTTCAGTAAAAGATGCAGTATCACTCTGGTCAACGCTCCGCAGAACTGCAGTAGTCTGTACGGTGGCAGCCCACCAGGCACGCAACCCATGCGGTGCCCCCCCTCCCCCATGCCCGGGATGGGGGGGGGGGGAGCGGGAATCCGAGCCTCCATCTTCCTTGAGAACGGAGTAGAAATGAGGCAGCAACAAACACCACGGCTACGAACGCGGGGCTGTTAAATTCCACTCTCCGCCAGCCCCCCAGATCCCTCGCCGGCCTGGGCTCGGGCCGAGCACTGCTGTCCCCAGCTCTTGGCCTGCAGTAGGTTGATCTGACCCCGGGCTGGGCAGATGGGCCCAGCTGTGTCTGGACTCTGGGTACTGCATGCAAGCCCAGTGGTACCGTTCTGCCTCTTTTCTCCCCCCGCCGCCCCTCCCCGATGCGTATTTAAAGATACAGACCCGTTCTCCATCCCAGTCCTCCCTGCCCCTCCATGCCCCCACCTCTGTAGGTTTCGATTGCATCTCGCTGGTTCTGGACCGGTTCTCTCTCGGCACCCCACCTACACTAGTGCCCGCTTTGCACCTTGCTGCCCTGCATGTATCCCTGTTTAACCCGTCCTGGGAGCACAGTACTAGTCCAGCGCCCCCAGGCACCAGGTGTTTCTCTTCGCGCTGCTTCTCCACTTGTGGCTGGAGCCCCCCCGCCCGCTGGCCCTCCTCAGCCTTGGACCTGGCTGTCTGTGATGGTGGGAGGAAGGGAGGGGAGAAATCAGACCAGATTAGAACCTCCCCCCCCTCCCACTTCCCTGCCCCCCCACCGTTTGAAAAAGGATACTGCAGCTTTCTCTGTTTCTATTTCAGTGCGCTAGCGTGTCTTTCTTTTAAAAAAAAAAAAACACAAAATGGAGTTTAAAAAAAAAAAAAGAATCTCGTGTTTGTATATAGTCCTTTAGAGAGAAATCTTGTTTTGCTTTTTGTGTTTAATCACTCGACCTATACTAAGAGGAACTGAAGATGCTGTATTGAGGATGTTACTAGCTGTGCCTTTCAAATAAAGAAATAAGAAGGTTGGTTAACCCCGCGAGTCAGCTGCTGCTCTCTGGGCCTTTGGTAAAGAGAAAGGGAGAGGGTGGGTTCTGTTCTACCCCCTGGGGCAGAAGCACAGGACCTGGGTTCTTTGCCTGACTGGTTGTGTGGCCTTGAACGGCCCTGCTCCGTGCCTCAGTATCCCCATCTGTAAAAGGGGGGTGGGTCTTCCTATTATGGCTGAGTCAACTGAGATCACTGCCCTGCTGGGTCTGTACAGCACCCAGCACCTAGTGAGAGGCAGGGCCTGTCCCAGAGAGCTTAGACTTACATAGACCAGAGAGGGAGGATGGGAGGGGGAAACAAGGCACAGAGAGAGGAGGTGACTCACCCCGCAGGTCAGCAGCAGAGCTGGCAATAAAACCCGGACTCCTGCTCAGTGCTGTATTCACTGGACGGTGCTGCCTTTGCCGGGTGCTCTGAGCAGTTGGCGAAGAACACGCCCAAGGCCCTGATCCTGCGCACACCGCATCAGGCGGTGAGCGCTCGGTGTACATGAGTGCATGCTCCAGAGGCCGTAGGAGTCAGGTGCGCTTTGAGCATGAGGAAGGGTTTCCCCAGAGCCCACCTGTTCCATTACCGTGTCCTCAACAGGGGCTTCTGCTGGGAGTCTCTGAGGTTGGGGAAGCCCTGCCTCAATTCTGCACCTGGCCACGTGTGCTCTGCCTGACCCCTCTCCCCCCCCCCCTCCCAAAATCAGGGCTACAGCTGAAGTTGGCCTTCCAGTGGCAGTGAGATTTCCTTGTCTCTCTCTGAGTCTCTGTGCCGTTGCGGTTTTCAGAGGGGGTAGGGAGCCTGAATCCCACTGATTTTGGGGGGTTTAACTCCTGTGACAATCTTCCCTGCCTGTGCACATGAAACCGAGTGAAGGGTTGATGGCGGTGCCTAGACTAAAAGGCCGGACAAGGATTTGCTGTCCAGGCCCCAGCACCTTTCATGTGCTGGCAAGCTTGGTTCAGCCCGGAGCTGCGCTGGGTGTTCTCTGCTCTCCCTGCTTCAGGAAAACCTCCCTTCCCTGCTCTACGCTCCCACTCACCAGGGTGCAGTAGCTGCCATCTGGCTTCATACAGCCGTCAGCCCACGGGCCTTTTGCTGGCACCGTGCAGAGCTCTGCAATTGCACCACGTTGTCAGCGTTAACCCTGAGCCCCGAGCTGCTGCTCCACTTTGGGAGAGGCTGCTGCTGCTGTTGATGCTTTGGGTGGAACAAAACGACCCTGACATAGGAATAGGCCGGTGGCTTCCTGCAGGCGCAAGCCGAAGAGAAGTTAAAGGGGGAGGAGCAGGTGACTTTCTGGGGAAACGCAGCTAATGCCAGGGTTGGCCAAGAGCAAGTTCTGTGGTGGGTTTTCTTGGTGGCTGGATGTTACAGCGCAGGGCCACTAGACGTGGCTGGTGTAAATGATCTGTGCTGGCCTGCCGCTGTTTGTAATATGACCTCTACAAATTACGCACGACTAGTCCCTTCCGTGAAATGCTGCAGGCGTGATCTCTCCCCCCGACCCCCAAGAGGTGCTGAGCATCAGCTGCTCTCCTGTTGCTCGTCACCTCTGGACAATCCAGGCCCCTTGCTGCCCTGGGGCTGGGATCACACTGATGGACTTGGCTGCTAGCTCTTAAGCGTAGCTGTCCTCTGGCTTCGATAACCTCATTCTGCTCTTGGGATCTCTTAGACCAGCTGGAGTGGGGAGAGTGCTGCTGTCCGGCGGCACAGTCCTGCTCCCGTTAAAGTCAAGAGAGGAAAGCTGCCAGGCCTTGCAGCAGTGCAAGCTCAGGGCCAGGAAAAGCTGGGGGCTGGCTGAGTCAGAGAGCGCGAGCCACCGGGCCTGCAAACTGATCGCATTTAACGAAGATCGTCCCCTTTTAAGAAGATAGGATTTGCCTTGCCAGAGGTTCATCGAGTGCATTATCCTGCCTTGGGCTGCTTCAGAGAATGGTGTGTGCAAGTGACGGAGGGGCGGAGACCATAATTCACTTGGTAAGTTGTGCAAGAGGCTGCATAATAAGCCTGGGTCCCTGCCCTCCCCTTGGATTTTGTTAGGGTTGGCCTGAAAACACAAGGTAGGTTTATAAGAGACCAATTTGTGTGACTGCTGCTCTAAAGGATGTTGAGCGCTTAAAAATCCCACTACTGCCAGAAACAGTTTTTTCAGTAACCTCAAGCTTCTCTGTCAGCGATTTGGGAGGGAGGGGAGCTTCGTTTTTTCATTTACAGGTACCTTGTGCATTCAACAGCAGTTTGCATCTAGAGCATTTCATCATTTCCCATGGGGTGTGTGACCGTCATGCGTGGGTGTTGGGTGCTTTCACATGCCAACAGGGGAGAGAAAAAAGGTTTTAAAATCTAGGGAAGTGGGTTTGTCAAATTGCTGTAACTGGTGGCTGTCGAACCTGAGGCTGCTCTTGTCAGTTTCAGAAATGGGGTTTAGATGTCAGGTCCTCGATGTCCCTTTAACGACTGCCTTGCAGGGCCTTATACTCCCTCTGTGGGCAGAGCTCCCTGCACCATGGGGGCAGCGTATGGCCCTGTATAATACTCACTTGGTCCAGGGTCAGTCAACTGCATGCTGCTATTTTTTGTGGGCTCCTTTTATTTTTAGTTCTTTGGAGCTTTTTTGTTTTGTTTTATGTCACTAGAAAGAGCAGAAGGGGGATCACAGAACAGCTCAGGGTCCCCAGGAACTCCTGGGTTTTAATCCCAGCTCTGACACAGTCTCTCTTTGTGGCCTTGGTTGGGCCACTTACCTGGTCAGCATATATAAAAAGGGGATAATACTTGCTTCTCTGGCTGGAGGATTAATTAATTAGGTTTTTGTAAACTTTTTGGGAGATGAGGCGTGCTATATAGATGTTGTAATGAATGGTGAGTGTGTACAATCAGAGAATCGGAACTGCTCCACTGTGTGTCCTAGGCCCTATACTGCTAATGGAGATTCTCCTTTAGCTCAAATGACTGGGGCATCTGAGTTCTGTTCCATCTGGCTGTGGTGTATGGCACAGGGACATCCGTCCTCAGTAGCCAGGTGTCTGTTATAGCATTAATACCGGGGAATAAAAAGGGAGGTAGGTACCATTCCCAGACACTAGTGGGTATAGCCCTGAAACTGAACTGCAGAAACAGAAAGGATTCCTGCTCTCTGGGGAATCTAATCTCTAATCCAGCAAATCCAGCAAAAATCAACAATTTCACCAATACAACAAAGCATTTTCGAGCTGGAACTGCCAGCTGCTGCAGCACTGGCTGGATCAGCCCTGGTGCAAGGAGGCCTTCAGTGACCCGCTGGGGGCCTGTTTGCTGCCCATGTGCGTTAGATAGGAGCCACCAGCTGGGCACAGCTTTGGGACTGATGTGAAATGAGTTTTGAGGGGTCTCAGTCTGGCTCCCAGGGGACAGTCAAAGCATGTCCCAAAAAAATCCCCATGCAGAGTGTGCCTGCTTAGTCCTGTGGTCAGCAGCCTGAGTCAAAAAGCCAGGGGCTCTGTGGGCCATGGAGGCAAACCTGGGTCAGGTTCTGTTAAGCTGCGGCTCCAGCTGTATCTAGTCCGACAGCTGCTCCGTGGTCTTTGTTACATCCAGGAATCGAGGTTTATAATGCGAGAGGCCAACTCGGCGGCTTCAGTTACAGCCACACTTGCTAAAGCAGTTCCTCTAGAAATAGCTGTGGGGACCTAGCTGGCTTTGGGGCTGGCTCGCGCCAGGCAGAGTCTTTCACCGCTAGGTCGCGGATTCAAATCTAGCCTGCGGGCAGGCGTGACCGGATGTCGTCACCTTCCAACGGCTGATGGTGAAGTCAGCTTGGCGTGTTTGCGACCCGGGTCCTTAGAGTGGGGGGTGGACAGGTGGCTCCACAAGACTCCCTGGCATGGGAATGAATTTGCAGCCTCAGCAGGTCACTCAAGGGTTGAATGAGCAACAAGACAGTGTTTACTGTGAGCTGCGGGATCCTGACAGCTATGGGGGAAGGCATGTGGTGATATGCTGTATATAGAGCGTCGGTCTCCAGGGGCCCCGGGCCCTAACCCACCTTAAAATGTAAACAGAGAGCCATCTCTCTCTCAAATCGCCTGGATCTTTGGGCAGATGCTGAGCTCGTCTTGCATTTTTCTTCTTTTCTGAGCATGATTTCTATAGGAGCTTATTGATTTCATGCCTCGGGCTTTCCCACCAGGGCATATGTCTTCCCCGGCTGGTGTACTAGCAAAGCGCCGTGGGTCTCTCTGGTGTTTCTCTCTCTCTCTCTCTGGTCGTTTTTTGATCACTCAAAGGACGTTCGTCTTGGTGGCTTCTGAAGGCGGCTGGGTTTTCTAATGCATTTCTCAAAAAAAAAAAAAAAATTCACCCTAAAATCTCCCCTTTTGTTAGCTGAAACCAAGGAGATGTCACTCTGGTTCCAAATGAGCTTGTCCCTCTCGGCCTCTTCTCTCCTCAGTACAAGCTCCTATCCAGCCCTAGTGCAAGAGGCAAATGGCTGGATTTTTCCAGAGCCCTGTTAGTGTGATTTAAGACTAGCTCTTGGATTCAAGGCAGCTCTGCTTTCTGAGCAGGAGGTTAAAGCGCGAGACGCTTGTTAATGTCGAAAGAGGAACCCAGGCAGACAGGTTGATAAACAGCCCCTGGCACCAGGATCTTTAAATCCTACAGAAACGCAGTTCTTAAAGGGGACCCCCCCGTGGTGTTTGCCTCGCTGGGCTGTCTGGCTCCCAGCACCTTGCGTTTGGCTGGGTGTGTCTCACCTGGGATTTATTTGGCATGTCTGTAGTGCCTTTAAACCCAAAGGGCCTCACAACCATACTCCATAGCAGCAGTGAAATGCAGCCATCTCTGGCGAAGAATGTGGGAGGAGGGGAAATGTTGGCGGGAGACACCTAGGTTGATCCTTGCTCTTATGAAGAGCTCCCTGGGGAACTCTGACATCTAGGCAACACTAACCAGTGCTCAGTTTATCCATCATAGGAGGACAAAAGTCTGAACTGACCCAGTCAGGATTGGA